TGCTTTCTGCCAGGTGGTAGGGGCAGGCCAGCATGCTGCCTGAATCCTTACATCCATGGTTCTGGGAAGGAGCTGAGAGTTCTACATCTTGACCCACAGGCAACAGGACACTGTGCCATATTGGGCGTGACTTGAGCATGTGAGACCTCAAACCCGCCTGCACACGACACACTTCCTCCACCAGGGCCACACCCCTCATAGTGCCCCTGCCTATGGGCACTATCTGCTGATGTAACATGGGATTGGACAAACTTTCCACGCGCAATGGTCTTCATTCAAAGTCTTCCGACGCTGTCGCATGGAGCTGAGATGACCCCACCATTTGCACTGAGTTGTTCCCCACCCACAAACGTGGACTTTCCTGGGGCACCCCACAGTTTGATATTGCCATGTCCATTTCCCTATGGAGAACCTTGACTCAAAACACAGGCAGGCTGGCCTGTCATTCGGCAGAGACCCTAGCATCCCAAGTGATGCCAGTGAAGTCATGAACAGCAGTCTGAGAGACCTGTCAGTTATGTGACATTCTAGAGACTCAACTGTGTGTGTGTGTGCATATATGTATGTATATATATGTGTGTGTATATATATGTGTGTGTATATATATACATACAGTTAAGTGACATTCTAGAGACTCAACTGTGTGTGTGTGTGTATGTGTGTGTGTATACACACATGCATATACACCAGTGCACCTATGTCCCTTAGGTGACAGCTGAGATACTTTATTGCCTTTTTATTTTATTTCATTCTTTTTATTTTACTTTAAGATTTGTATATTTTTATTTTATATATGTGAGTGTCCTGCCTGCATTTACATTTGTGCAACCTGTGTATGCCTGCTACCCATGGAAGCCAGAGAAGGCATCAGGTCCCCTAGAACTGGAGTTACAGACTGTTGTGAGCTGTCATGTGGGTGCCAGGGACCAAACCTGGGTCCTCTACAAGAGCAGCCGGTGCCCTTAACCACAGAGCCCCTCCCTGGTTCTTTCATGACAATTTCTGACACTCTGGGGACACATACACACACACACATACACACGCGTGTGCACATGCATGCACACGCGGGCACACACACACAGGTACATTTTAAAAAGAAATGGTTAATATGCGGAAAAAGAATAATTATTACTCAATAGACTTAATTGCTGCGCTCCAGATTCAGTGAGGATATACTGGCTTATGAAGCAAGGTGGAAAGGGTTGGGAAGATGGCTCAGCAAGAATTCTTTCTTGCACACAATCCCGATGACCTGAATTCAGTCCTTGAAATGAATGTAAAAAGACAGATGTGGGTGTGCACATCTGTAACCCCACTCTGGAGGGAGCAGGTGAACCAGCAGGAAGCTGGCAGCTTAGCTGCCTAGAATACACAGCCCGGCAGAAGCAGCAGGAGAAGCTGTAGCTTACTCTGGTTCTGCAAGGATGAGGGCCAGGACCAACTCCTTAAAGACCTCCACATACAACCCATGTGTGCATAGATACATGTACATGCACACTCACAGACTCACACGTGACTGCATGTACACGCAGGCACACATGAATGCATCCACAAGGATGCACCACACATGTGAAACACATATGTGTACCATGCACCTATGCACACGCACACATGTACACACAAGGATTTCTTTGCAGTCCTCATGGGTGGATCCAGCAGATGGAAGGCAGAGATCGGTACCTCTGCCTGAGAGGCTCTGAGTCCCACACAGCTTCTCCCTGCCCATCTTCTCAGCACCACCGCTTGTGTAGTCATACCCATGTGTTTGGTGTCTCAGGGGATGGTGACGTTCAAGGACGTGGCTGTGGTGTTCAGCGAGGAGGAGCTGGAGCTGCTGGACGCTGCCCAGAGGAAGCTGTACCGGGAGGTGATGCTAGAGACCTTCAGGACGCTGCTGTCAGTGGGTGAGGCTGGGATCTGGGTTTCCCCGAGGACTGGGTCAGGGACCGGCTGTGTGGGGGCCCGGGGCCTCCTGGCCTCATTCTCTGAGCACCGGAGGTGCCTCGTGGCTCCGTCCACCTTCTTTTGAGCTGTGCATGAGAGTTTTGTCACCTTGACACAAGCTAGAGTCGCCTGGGCAAGGGACCTCAGGTGAGGAGACAGTTCCCTCAGGTTGGCCTGGGGCAGTCTCTCTGGCATTTTTTTGACCAGTCCTTGCTGTGATTGTGGCCCGGGCCCCTGTGGGTGGTGTTGGCCCTGCCAGGTGGCTCCGAGTTGTGTGAAGAGCAAGCCAGTCAGTAGCACCCTCCATTATAGCCCAGGCTAGACCGTTCTCAAACTCACTGTGTAGGTGAGGGTGGTCTGGAACCTCTGCTCCGCCTGCCTCTACCTGCCAGGTGCTCCATACCCAGCTCTTTGTTTATGTAGTTTTGACAAAGGAGACGTGATCAATTGTTTGCTTTCCTGTTTTCTTCCATAGCACATGAGCCCTTCAAACCGGGTCTGATAGCCCAGCTGGAGACTGAAGAGAAGATTGGCATGGTGGAGGCCCGGGGAGGTGGGTTCTCAGGTGGGAGCTGCTGGGTCAGCGGGTGGGAGGACTTTCCAGAACTCAGGGCAGGGCATTCATCTCTCCCCTTACTCTCCACTGATTCCCCACTTCATAAGTAGGATAATGGGGTTTACAGCGCTCAGAGCAGGGCCCTGAGATGGCTTCATGAATACGGGTGCTTGTCACCAAGCCGGAGACGCAGCTTCCATCCCTAGATCCCATGTGGTGGAAAGAGGGAGAAAACTAACTCTCAGGTTGTCATCTGACCACCTCAGTCATGGCAGGGCTGGAGCACACTCATAGAGTCCCCACACACACAGACCACACACACACAGACACACAGACACACGCACACACATACATACACACACACAGACCACACACACACAGACACACAGACACACGCACACACATACATACACACACACAGACCACACACACACCACACAAACACAGACCACACACACCACACACACACAGACCACACACACACACACACACACTCACACACACCACACACACACACCACATACACCACACACTCATGCTCACAGAAGACAAAGAAATTTTTTTTGCTTTGGGAATGTCCCCTTTTGTTTCCTCTCTGGATCACTCCACAGTCGAGGATAAAGAGACCATGACATGCTTAGAGTTCACTAGACATTTTGAATGGGGCCATATTTGATATCCAGATTCTGTTAGGAAAAACCCACATCTCTGTGAGTTTGAAGCCAGCCAGATCTACAGAGCAAGTTCCAGGACAGCTATGGCTGTTGCACAAAACAGAATAAAAAAAAAAAAAAAAAGAAAGAAAAAACCCATATCCTTTGTTGTTGTTGTTGTTGTTTTGGAGACTGTTTGTTTGTATATCCCTGGCTGTCTTGGAACTCGCTCTGTAAATCAGACTGGCATCGAACCCTCCAGAGATCCTCCTGAATGTTGTGATTGAAGGCAAGATCTTAAGGTACCCAGAGAGCCATGATTTTGTGGCTTCTGTGTGTGTATCAGGTGTTTTGTAAGTAACCATAGAAACAGTATGATGTGTCAGTCTCCTGCTGTGAGGCAAGTGCTAAATCCCAAAGTCTTTCAATAAAGTGTTCACTTGTGCATTTGTCTGGATTCTCATCCTCATAGGAAGCAAGTACGGGCATGCTGTGGAATTTAACTCCTGTTGTCCCAGAGTGCTCTGCGCCTGTCAGACCTGGCCACATGGTGCAGGCGTGCTACCCAGGGGACAGGATTCCATGAAACGATGTCCAGAGAGGAACACTGAGTCTCAGAACCAAGGAGATTCTCCTTGCCTGGTGTGTGCAGGCATGCCAGTTCAGATTTCTGAAGATGGGAACTACGTGCTGCCTCCTGAAGATGATGAGTCTGCCTCTATGAAAAATCAAGGGTTTCCTTCACTGAGCGCCAAGCAGTCTTTGTGGGAGTCACATCTCCGTAGGGCGTGTAATTGTGCATGGGAAGGTCAGCACACGTTCACGAGAAACCACTTGTGTAGGTGTGACATCATCAGCTGGTTCCCATGCCGCAGTGACAATGAGGGGTTACACAGAAAGGGGGAGAGCCATAGTTTCCATGACTACAGAGGAGAGACCATGGAGGTGCCCTCACTTAAGCAGGACTTGATGAAAGCAGGGCCCGAGCCCTGCCCGGGTCCCGAGGGTAGAAAAGCCCGGAGTCATGGCAACAGTGAGGACCACAGCTGTCTCTCACATCAGCAGTTCCTCTCAGGAGGGAAGGCCTGGACACACAGTTCACGTGGAAAGAGCTGTCACGACAGGTCAGCCCTTCACATCCATCACAGTGTGGAGACTGGAGATGAAGGTGCTGCTGAGGGTCCTCCTCTGTGTTCCCCTCTGAGAGCGTGTGCGGAGCAAGCACTGTGCCAGTCCAGTGAGAACATCCACCCTGACTCCCCTCCTAACGCTTGTGGGTGTGCCCGCCCAGGCGGCACCTCCCAGAACTGCAGCATCCCCCGAGAGAACGTCTGATTGTTGTTTACACTGTAATAGTGGTTTTAGGGCCCACACTAGGGAAGAGCCCAACAAATATGAGGAGAATGGGAATGTTTCTAACCAGAGTTTATATCTCCCAGTTAATCAGAGCATCCATGCTGAAGAGAAGCTATATCCAGGTGTGGAGGGTGGGAAAGCTTTCACACAGTGTTTAAATTTCAACCCTCATCTCAGAGTTGATGTGGAAGAGACTCTCTATAACTCTGAGTGTGGTAACCACTACAGTCTGCCCCCACATTTCCAGGACTTTCCAAGAGTGCATCCCAGGGAGCAGCCACATAAACATTCATGCAGTACCAGCTTCAGTCAAAATGTGTGTGTTCAAGGCCATCAGCAACTTCACCCCCGAGAGAAACCTTTTAATAAAGAGGGTAGGAATGGATGTAACTGGAGTTCCAGCCCCCAAAGATCATCAGAAACAGAAGCCACACAAATGCATCACCTGTGGGAAAGGGTTCAGTCACAGATGGGTTCTTAACATTCACCAGAGGGTGCACACAGGAGAGAAACCATACAAGTGTGAGGAGTGTGGGAAGGTCTTCAGCCAGAGTGCCTACCTGCATGCACACCAGAGAGTTCACACCGGAGAGAAACCATACAAGTGTGAGGAGTGTGGGAAGTGCTTCAGTAGGAGTTTCTACCTGCAAGGCCACCAGAGAGTTCACACCGGAGAGAAACCATACAAGTGTGAGGAGTGTGGGAAGGAGTTCAGTCGGAATTCATACCTACAAGACCACCAGAGAGTTCACACCGGGGAGAAACCATACAAGTGTGAGGTTTGTGGGAAGGGCTTCAGTCGGAGTTCAAACCTTCAAGGCCACCTTAGAGTCCACACTGGAGAGAAACCATACAAGTGTGAGGAGTGTGGGAAGGGCTTCAGATGGAACTCTAATCTGCAAATTCATCAGCGGGTTCACACAGAGGAAAAATTGTATAGGTGTGGAGAATGTGGCAAAGGCTTCAGCAAGGCCTCCACTCTGCTGGCCCATGAGAGAGTCCACATGGGAGAGAAGCCTTACCAGTGTGATGAGTGTGGGAAGGCCTACATTCGGTCTTCCAGTCTCCAGATCCATTACAGGGTCCACACCGGGGAGAAGCCATACAAATGTGAGGTGTGTGGGAAGGGCTTCAGCCAGAGGTCACATCTTCAAGCTCATCAGCGAGTCCACACGGGGGAGAAACCCTACACGTGTGACACTTGTGGTAAGGGATTCAGTAGGAACTCAGGCCTTCTGATCCATCGAAGAGTCCATAGCAGTGATGAGTTCTGTAGGAGTGAAGAGTACAGGAGTGGTCATCCTTCTGAGAACCTATGCCGAAATGAAGGTTTGCCGAATACCGTCCTGTTGTGTTAATGAAAATGTAGTTCCTGTATCTCGTTTGAATGTCAGTGGTGGTTGGGAAACAACCTAACTAGAGATTTCCAAAAATCTCAACAACATGCGCATGAGCAGGAATTAACAAAAGCACGATTGTAGGCAGGAGTTTCATGTCTCGTAGCCTGTCCATCCCAACTACCAGGCAGGTGCTTCCCAAATTACCACTCAGAGTCTTAATATGACTTATGACCATTTGACCGATAGCTCAGGCTTATTACAAACTACACTTACATTTCAGGTTAACCATACTCCGTATTTACACTGCCACATCATGGTACCTTTTCTCAGTGTGCTATACCCATCTCACACTTCCCCTCTATCCCGTCTCTCCTGAATCTGCCCCCCTCCTTCCCAATATCCTTAGTTTCAACACTCTGTGTATACTTCATGTCTGGTTACTGACCAATTTGAGTGACAAATCTTTACTGTGTGCAAGATTATTCCACAGCATTTCTCCTTTTTGGTCTAATTAAAAGGGAAGGTGTGATGATATAGAATTGACTTTATTACTTATTCAATTACATGAAATAATCAGAAATAGAAATATATAACACGTATTTACCACATACAGCACAAGGAATGATGATTAACTATTGGTAGGAAAATATGCTAGAAGCCTCAGAATTTCATTTAAAAAAAAAACACCATGCCAACAGCAAGTGTTTGAAAAAAGACTTTTCCATCACTTGGCAGAAAGCCAAGGAAATTATAAGAAATGCCCTACTTCCTTTGATATAGCGAAGCTCCATGACCTGTGGGAAGGAACCTAAAAGTTACCCAGTGAAATTTGGCAGATGGATGTGTTTCATTTAGCAGAATTTGGAAAGTTAAAATACGTACAGCATGCCATAGATACTAAGTATTTCAATGAGCAACTGCTTTGAGTTCTTAAATGGCTGATTGTGTAGTCACACATTTGTTAGAATTTATGGCCATCATGTATCGCAGTTTAATAAGGATCAGGATAAACAATTAGGCTGAACAGATGTTTATTTAGGGAGAAATAACTCACAACATAGACAGGTGAACACCAACAGGTTCCTGCTTTCAAGAATGCCTCCAGAAGTCCTCCTCTCCCTGTGCGGCTTGCAAGAGAGCACTGTCCCACAGCTGGGACTTAGTTCCCCAGGTCACTTCCGCCCCTGGCTCCACCCCCAATGGGTGTGGTCAGTGCCACAGAAGGAGACAAAGTGAATATCCTACTACAGTCATGACTGACAGTGCTCTAGCACATGCTTCTTCATATTATAATATAAAGCCACTGAAATAGATCAGCCTGTATATTTAAGGATGTGTTGACCTCAAAGTGGGAACCAGGACATGTGTTATTTTGGACAACAGGTTTTGCTTTTGTTTCTACAGGAGAAGAAAAGTTATGGATACCATCAAAATTGATAAAGGTTTGATTTGAACAAGACAGACCTCTTAATCAGAAGAGGTGATAGTTCTTCAAACACCATGACTAACAAATGCTTTTCATTTGATCAAATATAACTTGCCAAAAGGGAACCTCCCCAAAGCTAGGGTCGAGGAAAGGATTTGTGTTTGTCTTTTCAAGGGTTTAAGGAATCCAGTTAAGGAATCTCAAGGCCACATGACAGATGAGACATGTAAAGAGTAAGGACAAATGATCCAGAAAAAGAGTGAATTGTCCTATCGGTATATCACATTTCCAACAGAATAAATTTTATAAATTTGCCCAAATGTTTGTTTCTGCTGTTCTCCACAGACATATAATGCATATGGTCTTTTTGTAGTTCCAATCCAATTAGAGATTAAGCTGGCTTCAGAGTTGCAGTATACTTCTCTCCTCCTCTAAACCCAAGCATGCTTGTTAAAGAAAAATCTAAAATCTCTGTCCTTTGTCAGAAGAGCCTCCTGGTATGGGACAGAAGAAAAAGCAAAAACTAATGGACCATTGAATTGCCACTAATCTCTTAAGTCTTTGGTTTTATTTTAACTTTTGAAATTTTTTCTTAAGGTATAAATATCTCCAAGTTAATAAGATTAATATATATGTGTTAAACTTTTTCATGGCATAAATGATCATATAGATGATCATGTAGAGTCCTGGCTAACTATCTCTAGAAAAATGCTTCATCCAGCTTCCTGTACATGATTGCGCATTAGAGTCTCTATCAGGTAACTAGGAATTAAGTTTTTGTATTCTTGATGTATATAAGAAAATATGATCCCTTATCCTTTTCGAGATCTGCTGCATATGACTTCTAAAATAAACATTTAAGTTTTCTGCACTGAACCAATACCATGCCTAGCCTTTGAAGTCTCCAAAAGGAGGATGGGGCCCTACAGTGTTTCCATCTGGGTTGTGGTGATCCCATTAAACTGGCAAACAGCACCCAAAACTCGGCCTTGGACTACAAACGGCTGAGGACAATCTCAAGGTGGCTAGCTGAGATGGCCCAGCCCCACAGACTACTCTCGCCTGGACTTGAGACAAGCCATGCACTTTCCCATTACACAGACACTGGACAGCAGATAATACAGTTTCCCATTTTTTTCAGGGTCCCTTAAAGATGCCGATGCCCCCAGATAGCAGGAAGTAATTTTAAGAACACGATGCCCACATTCCTGAAAGGTGGGGCATCTGGTTTTTTGGTCTTTCATTGGATTATGAATATTTGTCATCGTTTAAGGTGATTGCTTATTACTTGTTAATGGTAACAGTCAAGAACAAAGGATATTAGATTCAGAGTTCTGTTCTAAAAAAAGAAAAAGAAGGAATATAGAAATGATAGGATAAAGGGTTGACTATTGAATAGACTCTGAAAAGAAAAAGGGGACATATAGCTATGATAGGATAATAGGGTAGATTATTGAATCTCCTTTGAAACAAAAAAAAGCAACTACTAATCTTAAATATTTTACTTTGATATGGATTTTTTGTATATTGATACAATTTTGAGGTTATTTTTGTTAGAACATACTGTACATACATTCTTGTTCGAAGTATTGTACTTATACAGCTCATTTACCAATGCAATGCAAATCTTTAGTCCTTGAAAGTTATTACAAACTAGGATAAACAAATGCAGGTAAATAGTCACATATTACAGTTGAACTCATAGTCATGTTAGGGTATGCGTTCAAGGTCAAACATGTATTTTAAATAGGCAGGTGGACTTCAAGTACTTCAGATATCTTCAGATTATTTATGGCATTTAGGATGTTTTAATAAGATGGGTTTTTATTTAATTTTTTTTTATTTTAATGAGACATGGTTGCTCCTGGCAGCAGTAATCTACGTGAGAGAAGACGATGGGCATTGAAGGAACTCCATATGGAGTTTACTTTCTTTGTGGCAAAAGTTAACCGTTGGGCAAGAAAGTCTCCTTGCTCACACTGTTGTCCAAAGTGGACCAGCAGGACACACATAAAAAGCACCTGCCAAACCTTGTCAAGACAAGGAAAGACAGTTTTCTAGAATATCCTGCTTCACAAAAATGTCTGTCAGATATGTTAGGCCTGGGGCCTGAAGATGGGTTTCCCAGGGGAGCCTTCGATGACTGTCCAGGCAGCTAACTATTTCCGCAATTTCTTGGAAGTCTTGCTTGCACTTCATGATTACTCAGGTAATAAATAGTTTCTTCTCAGATATCGGGAGTTGAAGATTAGATCGTTCTAGTTTTCTTGTTAACAAATTCAGAAGAGAATCTCTCAAGAGGAATAAGAAGTGCATAAGGTCGAGCGACAAAAAGCTAGTTTTGGGCTGGTAATACAAGTTAGGTTAGAAGGTGAATTGGATACAAACAACCCTTTGGACTCACCATGATAGAATAGATAATGGAGTATTTTCTCTGAATTTGTCCAATGCAAATGGACTGCACATTGTTAATGTAATTCTTGACTGTATACATTGTATATGGTTATTATACTTATTGTATATAGTTTTTCTATGTTAGTTAAGACTTTTGCTTTTTATTTAGACAAAAACAGGGACATGTGTGATATTTTGTGTTCTGACAAATAAAGCTTGCTTGGAGATCAGAGGGTGGAGCTACTACTAGTTAACCATAGAGGTCTGGAGGTTTGTACAGAGAGAACACAGGGAGTAAGTGATAAGACTGGGTGGAGAGAGGAATTGATAAGGAGAGGGCAAAGACAGTATCTCAGCCCTTTCAATCAGAGGAATAGGAGAGGTAAGAAGTCCCTGGTGACTGATGCTCGGCTTCTCTGAGCTTCCAGTTTTACCGTGATATTGGACTCTGGGTTTTTATTGATAAACCTAATTAGGATCATGCTTCACAAGGCTGGCAGGCATGGAGAATAAATAGAAGGAGAAATCTGGGAAGAGAGGAAGGGGCAAGCAAAGAAGTTGCCAGTCACCCTGCTACACAGCCAGACATGAAGTAAGAAAGAAAAGTTACACAGAAATAGAGCAGGGTAAGGCAAAAGGCAGACAGGATAAGTTAAGAAAAGCTGGCAAGAAACAAGGCAAGCCTTTGCCAGGCATTTATACATAATAACGCTGTGCGTGTTTATTTGGGAGGTGTAAAGAGTAAAATTGACCAAGTGTCATAATCATGAGTCATGATTATGAGTCGTTTACGGGGATGTGACTCCCTCTTCTGGCTTCCTTAAGCACTACACTCTCATGGTAAATATACATACCCTCAAGCACACAGGAACACACTATTTAAAATTATTAGTTTCTTTTGTAAAACCTGGTTTTCTACCCCTTCTTTCTATATTTCAAGTTCCTCCATGCACTTTCTGTATAATAGCTGATTACACTGGGTGCATGGTAGCTCTGTTCAGTTTGCTTTGCCTGAGTTTTCTTGAATGTCACATTTGAAAAGTTTCCCTTTTCCAAGATTATAAGGGGGGGGGGGGAGTGAAGGTTGGAGCGCTGAAGATCACAGCGCTCGGTAGGAGTGATGCAGACTAAGAATCCCCTAAACTCGGTGACTCATGCAAATGGTCTCGAAGGGAGCACACTGCCTGGAAGGAGTTCCTGCAGATGCCAGGAAATGTAGGCCAGAAGACCCAAGCCTCCTCTGACACGCTCTAGAAAGGCGCCATTTAACACAGCCTTCCATAGAAAGGAGGGAGAGTTTTGTGGTTAGAAGATTTTTATTTTAAGAAACGCTGAGGACACTGTTCTGGGCCACAAATTGTGACATTTAATTTAGTTTTCTTATGGAGGCAAATCCGCATTGGAAAGGCAAAGAGGAACTTAGAGAATTCTGGGAAATGTAGTTCACAACTCTAGCATGCCTGGATACTAGGATGACTTCCCCTGCAGGAGGCAAAGAGGAACGCCCTATTCAGGCCGGGAATTTTGGGAAATGTAGTCCGAGATTCCACAGTTTTTAGGATAACCTGCAGCAGTCTGTGTCGCACCTGCTCCCCCGGGGAATTCTGGGAAGTGTAGTCCAGCGGCCTGTGCGGGAAGAGTCGCTTCCGCCCCAGGTGTGCGAGGCCGCGGCCTGTGTTTCTCTCGGAAAGGTGAGCCGTCCCTGCGCTGTCCCCTGCCGCATGTGCCGGGGACTTTTCGGGTCGCCGCGGGCGGTGGCCACGAGGCGTGGACCCTGGGGAAGGAACTCTGCCTCCGAAGGGCAGGGCGCGGGTGGGCTTTGAGTGAGCCTGCCCGAGCGCGCCGCGGTTGCGCACACTGACTCGGGCCTGGCAGGGGCTGGCGGTCACCAGGATGGTGCGGGTCCCGGCCCCGTCGCAGCCCCGCGCCCCCTCCCGCAGCCCCGGCCACTGCCAGCGGTGCCATCTCGCAGCCTGGGACATTGTGCTCCGAGTGCTTGCCCCGTTGCGGAGAAGCACCCCGGTCCCCGGGAGCTGCAGGGACCCACGGATGCTCCCAGAGCTCCTGCTGCAGGGTCCCGGCCCCAGCCTGCCCTCTGCCAGACCCTAAACGACTCGGGTGTGGATTCTCGTGGAGACAGTCGTCCCCAGCTGTTGCCTCCAGTGCCCACTGTGACTTCTGGGGGGCGGGTGTTGATGGAGCCCGGTGCCCCCCCCCCCCACATCTTGCCTTCGTAACCCTGGATTTGAAAAAGACTCAGGGGAGAGAGGCAGCAGAACGCGGCGTGGTTGTCTGAGTGAGAAATGATCCCGTAGTCTCAGGCCTTTGAATAAGTGGCCCAGAGGTAGGGGAAGGGGATGCTTCTGGAGGTTTGGCTTTGCTGGGGAAAGTAGTCATGGGCTCGAGGGGCTGGTGAGGCTCTGAGGACGGAAGGTTTTACTTCGCCGCAGTTTGCTCTCTCTACTTCGTGCTTTGGGTTCAAGATGGGAGCTCCCAGATCCCTGCTCCTGATGCCACGCCTGCCACCTGTTGTCATACTGTCCCTACCGTCAGGGAACCCTCTGGAACCTGAAAGCCGAAGGCATAAAACATGCATCTTTCTTAGCTGTAGAATGTATTGTCCACAGCAGAGCACATGCAACCCAAGAAGTTTCTGTACTTCACAAGTAGGTTTTAAATGGTAGTATTAAACTTGCTGAAGGGCCATTGAGAATGCACTTGCGGCCAAGCCTACGAACGTGAATTCAATCCCGGGACCTACATGTTGGAAGGAGAGAACCAACTTCAACGATTGTTCTCTGTCCTCTGTAGACGCACATGACCACATAATAAGTAAATAAAATTTTATTCTAAAATACACATTGTGAACAAGTAGATGTGTTTGTTGCAATCCAAGATCGACCACTAAAGGCAAACAAATTCTGAAGCTAAGAAATGAGTGAACTTGTAAAAAATACACACATACACACACACACACACATACCAGCCCAAATGGAAGCAGACAGTGAGTAAGGGAAATAAAATCTGGGAGGAGAAATCACAAGAAGAATACATTGGTGGGCTGAAGTCCAGCCACCTCAGTAGTTACAGGACGCCAACTGTTCTGGTTTTACAACGTTGCTGTGATAAAATCCTCTGAGGAAAAGCAGCATAGAAGGGAAAGTTTATTTCAGCTGACAGTTCCAGGTTCTGGGCCATCATTGTGGGAAAATCCCAGCAGGAGCTTGAAGCAGCTGGTTGCATCATACCCAGAGTCAAGAGAAGAAATTTATGCATGCATGCATGCATTCATGCTTACTTGCTTGCTGACTTCTGCTCAGTTGAGTTTCTCTGCTCTTTTCCAGTTCAGAACTCCTTGCCTAGGGAATAGTGCCTCCTACAGTGGGCTGGGTCTTCCCACATCCATCAGTTAAGTTAACCCCACAGATGGGCTGGGGAGATGGCTCAGAGGTTAAGAGCACTGGCTGCTCTTCCAGAGGTCCTGAGTTCAATTCCCAGCAACCATATGGTGGCTCACAACCATCCGTAATGAGATCTGGTGCTCTCTTCTCACTTGTAGGCTATGTGCAGATAGAGCACTCATCTCTAAAAATAGACAACAATAACAACAACAAAAACCAACAAAACCATAAATAAAATTAAGAAAAGAAGATATGCCCTCGGGCTAAGCTCGATGATCCATTCTTGAGAATCTGTTTACAGGTGAGTCTAGATTGTGTGAAGTTTGTAATAAAAGCCAACTATCACACTAATACACCAAATATACAGCTGAGTGCTGGTGGTGCAGGCCTTTAATCCCAGCACTGGGGAGTTTAAGGCCAGTCAGGTTTACAGAGCGAGTTCCAGGACAGGCTCCAAAGCTACAATGGAATCCTGTCTCAATAAACTAACAGACAAACATAATGGCCAACCCCATTATTTAAAAAGATTGCAGATTGGAGCTAGGGATAGTTATGGCAGCACACTTGACTTTTTTCCCAGCACTTGGAACAGACAAACAGATCTCTGTGAGTTCCAGAGCAGCTTGGTTTACATGGTGAGTTCCAGGTCAGCCATAGTGAGACCCTGACTCAGTAAGTGAATAAGCAAATAAGTAAGATCAAACTCTCCCTCTTTTTCTACATATATGTATGTATGGATGGATTTACATATGCATGTGTAGATATGTATAGATGCATCAGCTTTAGTGTCCACTAGGCCTGAAATCACAACGTCATTTTCACTTTGTCCTCTCGTCATTAATAACAGTTCGTCAAAACACCTTTTCCTAGTATTTTCAAAACCTTCTGTCCTATAATTGTAGCTGTTTTACTTTGAAATATGGTGACGACAACAACTGAGCAATTCTGTCACCAGCTTGTATCTGCATGGACTTTTACACACAGGCCATCTATAAAAACGTGATAACAATCTGTGGGATTTGCAGCAGCAACTTTAGGCAATACTCATAGAGTACTTTCATAATAATTTAAAAAGAGGGTCATAGATTTTCATAGATTCCAAATAACATGTTCATGCAACTTGCCAATTATTAACAGTGTGGGTCAAACAATTTACTTGTATTTCATTTAGTGGAGAAATAATGTTTGTAAGCTCTTTATCAGTAAGAGATTATTCTTTATGAGCTTTTACCTTAGTAGCCACATATCTGATAACCTAACAATGCAGTCTGTTTCAGGTGTTACAGTTTTATAGAATTTAACCAGGAATTTCTAGAAAGTAACTTAAAGAGCAGAGGCAAATTCTCAGTGATGATGAACGGACAGGAATATACCTAATGATCCAGTTCAAAATCATGAAGTTTGCTCTTTAAGTTCATTCACTATGAAAATCAAACATTCATCTAAGCATTAATTAGACAATCAAAAGAGAACATCCTCTATACAATGAATTGCTGGTATCTCTGGAAATCAAACAGCATTTCACTTAATATTTTGTGCCCTTCTCTAATTATTCTTTACTAGAAGCTGGGCTTGTTTTAACTCTCTCTCTCCCATGAAGAGATCACTTATAATGAGTTATTCCCACTATTGGGGAAAAACAGTAACACAATTTTAACCAAAGTTAAGCAAACAGACAACAAAATCCTAAGCTCTTGCTCAGGCTGTGGCAATGACGCCACCTGTCAGTTCGTTGTGATTGATGCCACTGCCCTGAGCTGAGGGGCAGTTCTGTGAAAGCCGGGAGGCAGCGAGCAGCCAGACACAGAGCTCTGAGTTTTAACTGGTCTCTTTCTTATATAGGAAAGAGCCCTTTACCCTTCCACTGTTCCTACTGGGAACAGGCTTCCTCTGTTTATCTTTCTTTTATGGGACCTTTTAAGCTTTAGTCCTTGTTTCAATATTTCCCCCCTTTTTACCAGGAAAATCCTTGATTAAAACATTTCCTCTTTTCTATAGAGAAGTTTCCTCTTATTTCCTTCCTTTTCCTCTTCTCTACTGGGAAGTTTCCTTTTTTACTCTTTGTCTCAGGGAGACATCTTTCTGCCTTTAGAATTTGTGCAGTTAGCCTTTCAGCCTTTTAAATGTCTAAATCTGTCTCATCCGTTGAAGGAGGAGAGCCTTCTCCAGGTCCTGTCTTCACTCACTTTCACTGTCCTGTGAAACGGCATTCCTGTCGACTGTGAAGGAACCTCCTCCGCTGCTTGAGACATTTAGCAGGAGAGTCTTCTCTTTTACTTTCCTGTTCTCCAACAGATACAGCTTCATGTGACGCCTCACTCTGCAACGGCTCCAGAGCATTTCATATTAAATTACATAAAGACCAATTTTTTAATGGCATGGACTCTCCTCTCTGATGAGCTCTCCTTGAAGCTCTCAACCTTTGTGTCCATACCCTCATTTTCAATTGAGCAGGAATTGCCTGAAACCATTGGCAAGGCCATTTCATTAATACCAAAGGCTCTGTGAGCTGTTCCCCTAGCAGGCATTTTAATAACCCCACATACCGTTGCTCCTGACATGGGAAGTTTCCCGAGACCCTGGCGATCCTGGAGTCCCCTTAGCCTGAGGGCATTCTTCTTCCATTAATAAAGTGGCTGGCTCCTCTGTCCTTCAGCAGATCCTTTGCCTATTTTCAAGCCCCGCATTGGGCACCAAATGTTCTGAGGCAGGTGTGGGTTCATGATGGGTCCGTGGAAAGAAGACTCAGACACCTGAAGAATGAATCTGGTGTTCCCTGGCTGCAGGGGGCTCTGCTTTCTTGGGACTGAACCATTCTCTCCCAGGGCTTCTATTATCCTCTAGTTAACACCATAGAAAGTTGATTTCCATATCCTCAGAACAATCTGACTGGGACTCCACAGGACAATGTCAGATGCTTATTCTCCATAAGAAAATATGGCAGTTCTCTGGGTTGTTCTACTAAGTTGTGCACAGGCTTTGAACCTGTGGGAAATTCAGACCAGATTCACATAGAGGTCAACAAGAGAAACCAAAGGCAGATTAGGGCTAGGTGCTGTCATTCTGGAGCTGGAGGAGGCGTAGCCCACAGGGATTCTCCAACAGCCCATGCCCCTGTTTCTCTTTTCAAACTGTAATGTTGATTTTCATGTTCATATTTGTGCAGTTCATGCCTGTGTGTTTGGGGGACAAAGGGCATGCAAGTCCAGGAGGGGGACATCTGGTGCTCTGCTCGGCTCTATCCCTGCTTCATTTTCTTGAGACAGAATCCCTCACTGAACCTGGAGCTAGACCAGTGGCCAGCAAGCCCCAGCAGGCCCCCTGTCTCCACCTCCCAGAAACACACAGCCATGGAGTTCCATTTCACATGCGCGCTAAGGGTTGACCTCAGGTACTCTATGCTTATCTACCGACCACTGTCTAGTCACTTAATTGTTTGCTTATTTTTCAGTGTTGGGGGTAGAATTCAATGACTCCACCACTGAGCTGCACCCACAACCCTCGCTGGTGAGTTTTTTTTTTTTTTTTTTTTTTTTGTGCCTCTACCATTGAAAATTATGGGATACTATTCTTGGGGAGACATAGCCAAATGTCTACTAGTTCCAGATTGAGATCCAGTGACAACCCAAAAAACCCAACTTGGTGACCCAGTGACTTTTATTGGGGTTACTTACATGAATATGTGATGGGAAATGTTCGTCTGTATATATGTTTCTCTTATTTGTTATGAATAAAACAGTTTGGCCAGCAGAGCCAGAAAGATAGGCAGAACTAGGAGATGAGGTGAATTCTGGGAAAGATAGGCAGAGAGAGACTGTGGAGAGATGCCATGCAGTAGAGGAAGGTGTGACAGGTACAGACCCTTCTCCAGTAAGCCAAGACCACGTGGAAATACATAGATTTATAGAAATGGGTTAATAATTAAGACAGAGCTAGCCAGTAAGAAGCCTTAGCTATCGGCCAACAGTTTTATAACTAATATAGTGTCCATGTGTTTATGTGGGGCTGAAGTGGCCGTGAGACCAGACGGGACAGAAAGCTCCAGCAACAAGTATGGGTGAGGGATTACTTACAGGAGCAGAAATGACTCAAAGACATCTGCATCACCAAAGCCCACCCTTGTACGAGTGGCAGCTCGAAAGCTGTGAACCTGGAGCACGTGGCACAGGCAGCTCAGCCAGGTATAGAGGGTCCTCCCTGGTGCTTCAGTTGGTCTGAGTCTCTCTTCAGCTCAGCTGATCTCTTCTTTGGGGACTTCAGCTGATTGACCCTCTTCTAAGCTGCGCTGCCGCTCGAAGGGAAAGGGCTAGGGAACCTGCACAATTCCAGGAACTTCCTGAAACTTTTTAATTGTTTTCTTCCATAATTTTATTGAGGTTCCCTGCATGATGGAATGTTTTACCTCCATCTAAGGAGGGTCCCTGCAGGATGGAACATTTCATCTTGAAAGACGTTGCTACACAAAATTGAGCCAAATCCCAGCCTCTTAATGGGAGATCTAGACAGGGCCTCTACCACTGAGCCATGCCCCCCAGCCCCTCACTGGGGGATTCTAGGCAGGGGCTCTACCACTGAGCCACACCCCAGCCCCTCACTGGGGGATTCTAGGCAGGGGCTCTACCACTGAGCCACGCCCCCCAGCCCCTCACTGGGGGGTTCTAGGCAGGGGCTCTACCACTGAGCCACGCCCCCAGCCCCTCACTGGGGGGTTCTAGGCAGGGGCTCTACCACTGAGCCACGCCCCCAGCCCCTCACTGGGGGGTTCTAGGCAGGGGTTCTACCACTGAGCAATATACTCCATCCCCTTAGCAGGGTCAGAGGGCAGGGGCAATTCTCTGATGCAGGGTAGAATTCATTTCTGTGCAGTCATAGGCACATAGGGATTTTTATTCCTTACAGTAGCTGTCCACTCCTGGGGCACAGAATCCCAGCAGCCCTCAACCCTGAGTGCCAGCACTGTAACAGCCTGTTTGCAGATGACAGAATTGAAACGTAGAAGGTTAATGGGCTTAAGGCTCAGGTTACTCAGTGGGGGCATACTAGCACCATGCACCTTTTAAAAATGACTAATATTTATTTAGTGTCTGTGTGTACAGAAGCAGGTGTCCAAGGACAACCTGTGGAAGCCAGCTGTCTCCTTCCATGCGGGCCCTGGGGATTAAACTCAGGTCATCTAGCTTGGCAGGAAGCACCCTTACCTGCTGAGCCATTTCAGCCCATTACCAGTTTCTGAGCATTGGCATTTTGTCCCTTGATGCTACTTGGAGCCAATACATTTCATTACTCCCCTTCACCACATTTCCCAGGATGGGTGTGAACATTTGGGAAGGCTTTTCCTGCCTATAGCCTAGGGTGGACATCCCGGGGGAGCTGGACCGTGGCCCGTGTGCCCTACTTTGCAGCACATGTATGTGCCTGCCCCTGGAGGCGAGGGGCATCTTGACCTCCCCCTGGACCAAGTTGTATTTCCCCTCTCATGTGTCTGTCCTGTCCTGCCTTCCCAGGCCTCCACCATTTCCTAGAAAAGAGGAGGAGAAAATGGCCGAATTTCAGGTGAGTTGATTTTCATCTGTGTTATATGCTCTTAATTATGGTTTCTGTTGCTGTGAAGAGACACCACGACCCTGGCAATTATTTTTTTATTTGTTTGTTTTTTGTTTTTTCCAGTCAGGGTTTTTTTGTGGCTCTGGAGGGTGTCCTGAACTAGCTCTTGTAGACCTGGCTGGTCTCAAACTCACAGAGATCCGCCTGCTTCTGGCTCCTGAGTGCTGGGAGACCCTGGCAATTCTTATAAATGAAAACACCTGAGAGTTGTGCATCTTGATCCAACGGCAGCAGGAGACTATGTGTCACACTGGGTGTAGCTTGAGCATGTGAGACCTCAAAGCCCGCCTCCACACCAACACACTTCCTCCACCAGGGCCCCACACCCAATAGTGCCACATGAGTCTGTGGGGGCCACGACCTACTGAAAGCACCATGCTTCCTCATGTCTCAGTGCGGGTGCACAGTTCCCCTCAGGCCAGGGTGAGGAGTGGCAGCAGGTACTACTCCATGTATATGTCAGGCTCATCAAAACAAAACAAAACCTTCCTGTGTTTAGTTAGTTATTTTAAAATATATTTGTTTATCCGTGGGGATTAGACCACATTATGCCACAGTGTGCCTGTCAAAGGTAGAGGAGCAACTTTCAAGATAAGTGGTCAGGTTCAGGGAAAGTGCTTTACCTCCGAGCTGCCCTCATATCTCATCTGTTCAGTTTGAGTCAGTCCCCTTTGTGGGTGTGGGGGAAGTTAGTTTTCTTTTCTTCCCTCTCTTCTTTGAATGGGGGTCTCACTCTGCATTGTGGGCTAGCTGCATCATCTGCTATCAGTGCCTGGAGGAAGTTCAGTGTCCAGACAGCACTCAGGCTATACAAAACATCAGCAAATGTGGCAAGGGCCTTTTCTGTCCCAGGGGAAAATAAGGAAACACTCCCTTTCTGAGGCACACTTTCTCTTTTACTTCCTTTCAAACATCCTCTGTGAGCATCAGTCTTCACATAGTTACATTTTTTACCTACAGCCACGTATCTCTCTTTACGCACATACATCTCCTGCTCAGCCCTACACCTCTGCAAATAGTTCCGTCTGTTTTCACATAGTTATACGGCCACACGTCCTCCACACGGTTACCTCCTTCACGGTTCTTCTCGCGTGTCTCCGTCACACTTGGCCACGTCTGGGTTCCACCACACACATCCACACTCACACCTCCAACCAAACCCCAGGCTCTACATGTTACCTTCCCAGGGCCCGGTCCATTCACATAACGCATGATAAGTTGCGTGGCTTCTTTCAGGCTCCGTAGGGGACACTGACTGCCAGGGAGGAACGCTCGGCTGCATACTCAGCGGTTGGCTGAACCTCAAGCCTTTTGTCATTAGGAGCGCGATCAGAAAGCCAGCCGCTGCAGGAAAGCTACTTCTTAATGGTTTTGGTTTAACAGACACTTGGGAAATTGTCCTTAGCAAATCATCAGCTTGTTAAACACGAGTTGTCACCTGCTGTATACTCGATGGCAGCTCTCTGCAAAACACTACCCTGATGTGTGCTTCTGCGAGGGTGAGGGCCGGGCCAACTCCCAAAACACCTCCATAAACACCCATGTCATGTGCACAGGTATGGACACATGCACACTCACAGACTCAGATGTGTGTGCATTCATACACATGCACACATGCATGCATCTACACATGTGTACCATGCACCTATGCACACGCACACATGTACACACAAGGATTTCTTTGCAGTCCTCATGGGTGGATCCAGCAGATGGAAGGCAGAGATCGGTACCTCTGCCTGAGAGGCTCTGAGTCCCACACAGCTTCTCCCTGCCCATCTTCTCAGCACCACCGCTTGTGTAGTCATACCCATGTGTTTGGTGTCTCAGGGGATGGTGACGTTCAAGGACGTGGCTGTGGTGTTCAGCGAGGAGGAGCTGGAGCTGCTGGACGCTGCCCAGAGGAAGCTGTACCGGGAGGTGATGCTGGAGACCTTCAGGACGCTGCTGTCAGTGGGTGAGGCTGGGATCTGGGTTTCCCCGAGGACTGGGTCAGGGACCGGCTGTGTGGGGGCCCAGGGCCTCCTGGCCTCATTCTCTGAGCACCGGAGGTGCCTCGTGGCTCCGTCCACCTTCTTTTGAGCTGTGCATGAGAGTTTTGTCACCTTGACACAAGCTAGAGTCGCCTGGGCAAGGGACCTCAGGTGAGAAGACAGATCTGTCAGGTTGGCCTGGGGCAGTCTCTCTGGCATTTTCTTGACCAGTCCTTGCTGTGATTGTGGCCCGGGCCCCTGTGGGTGGTGTTGGCCCTGCCAGGTGGCTCCGAGTTGTGTGAAGAGCAAGCCAGTCAGTAGCACCCTCCATTATAGCCCAGGCTAGACCGTTCTCAAACTCACTGTGTAGGTGAGGGTGGTCTGGAACCTCTGCTCCGCCTGCCTCTACCTGCCAGGTGCACCGATGACAGACATACACCTCCATACCCAGCTCTTTGTTTATGTAGTTTTGACAAAGGAGACGTGATCAATTGTTTGCTTTCCTGTTTTCTTCCATAGCACATGAGCCCTTCAAACCGGGTCTGATAGCCCAGCTGGAGACTGAAGAGAAGATTGGCATGGTGGAGGCCCGGGGAGGTGGGCTCTCAGGTGGGAGCTGCTGGGTCAGCGGGTGGGAGGACTTTCCAGAACTCAGGGCAGGGCATTCATCTCTCCCCTTACTCTCCACTGATCCCCACTTCATAAGTAGGATAATGGGGTTTACAGCACTCAGAGCAGGGCCCTGAGATGGCTTCATGAATACGGTGCTTGTCACCAAGCCGGAGACGCAGCTCCCATCCCTAGATCCCATGTGGTGGAAAGAGGGAGAAAACTAACTCTCAGGTTGTCATCTGACCACCTCAGTCATGGCAGGGCTGGAGCACACTCATAGAGTCCACACACACACAGACACACGCACACACAGACACACAGACACACGCACACAGACCACACACACACAGACACACAGACACACGCACACACATACACAGACCACACACACCACACAGACACACACACACATACATACACACACAGACCACACACACACAGACACACAGACACACAGACACACAGACACACGCACACACATACATACACACACACAGACCACACACACAGACCACACACACAGACCACACACACACAGACACACGCACACACATACATACACACACACATACATACACACACACACAGACCACACACACACAGACACACGCACACACATACATACACACACACACAGACCACACACACCACACACACACACCACACACACACACGCAACACACATCATACATACACAGACCACACACACACAGACACACGCACACACATACATACACACACACAGACCACACACACCACACACACAGACCACACACACACATACACACACACACAGACCACACACACAGACACACACACACATACATACACACACACAGACCACACACACACATGCACACACATCATACATACACAGACCACACACACAGACACACACACACATACATACACACACACACAGACCACACACACACGCACACACATCATACATACACAGACCACACACACACAGACACACGCACACAGACACACAGACACACGCACACACATACATACACACACACAGACCACACACACACAGACACACAGACCACACACACCACACACACACAGACCACACACACACAGACACACGCACACAGACACACAGACACACGCACACACATACATACACACACACAGACCACACACACACAGACACACAGACCACACACACCACACACACACAGACCACACACACACAGACACACGCACACACATACATACACACACACACACACAGACACACGCACACACATACATACACACACACACAGACCACACACACACAGACACACGCACACACATACATACACACACACAGACACACACACACACATACATACACACACACACAGACCACACACACACACACGCACACACATCATACATACACAGACCACACACACACAGACACACGCACACACATACATACACACACACAGACCACACACACACCACACACACAGACCACACACACACATACACACAGACCACACACACACAGACACACACACACACACACATACATACACACACACAGACCACACACACACACGCACACACATTATACATACACAGACCACACACACACAGACACACGCACACACATACATACACACACACAGACCACACACACACAGACACACAGACCACACACACCACACACACACAGACACACACACACATACATACACACACACAGACCACACACACACAGACACACAGACCACACACACACATACATACACACACACACAGATCACACACACACAGACACACAGACACACGCACACACATACATACACACACAGACCACACACACCACACACACAGACCACACACACACAGACACACGCACACACATACATACACACACACAGACCACACACACACAGACACACACACACGCAAACACATCATACATACACAGACCACACACACACACACACACACACGCACACATATCATACATACACAGACCACACACACCACACACACAGACCACACACCACATACACACACACTCACACACACCACACACACACCACACACACACAGACACACAAGCACACACATCATACACACACAGACCACACACACCACACACATAGACCACACACCACACACACACACTCACACACACCACACACACACAAACACACACACACCACATACACCACACACTCATGCTCACAGAAGACAAAGAAATTTTTTTTTGCTTTGGGAATGTCCCCTTTTGTTTCCTCTCTGGATCACTCCACAGTCGAGGATAAAGAGACCATGACATGCTTAGAGTTCACTAGACATTTTGAATGGGGCCATATTTGATATCCAGATTCTGTTAGGAAAAACCCACATCTCTGTGAGTTTGAAGCCAGCCAGATCTACAGAGCAAGTTCCAGGACAGCTATGGCTGTTGCACAAAACAGAATAAAAAAAAAAAAAAAAAAGAAAGAAAAAACCCATATCCTTTGTTGTTGTTGTTGTTTTGGAGACTGTTTGTTTGTATATCCCTGGCTGTCTTGGAACTCGCTCTGTAAATCAGACTGGCATCGAACCCTCCAGAGATCCTCCTGAATGTTGTGATTGAAGGCAAGATCTTAAGGTACCCAGAGAGCCATGATTTTGTGGCTTCTGTGTGTGTATCAGGTGTTTTGTAAGTAACCATAGAAACAGTATGATGTGTCAGTCTCCTGCTGTGAGGCAAGTGCTAAATCCCAAAGTCTTTCAATAAAGTGTTCACTTGTGCATTTGTCTGGATTCTCATCCTCATAGGAAGCAAGTACGGGCATGCTGTGGAATTTAACTCCTGTTGCCCCAGAGTGCTCTGCTCCTGTCAGACCTGGCCACATGGTGCAGGCGTGCTACCCAGGGGACAGGATTCCATGAAACGATGTCCAGAGAGGAACACTGAGTCTCAGAACCAAGGAGATTCTCCTTGCCTGGTGTGTGCAGGCATGCCAGTTCAGATTTCTGAAGATGGGAACTACGTGCTGCCTCCTGAAGATGATGAGTCTGCCTCTATGAAAAATCAAGGGTTTCCTTCACTGAGCGCCAAGCAGTCTTTGTGGGAGTCACATCTCCGTAGGGCGTGTAATTGTGCATGGGAAGGTCAGCACACGTTCACGAGAAACCACTTGTGTAGGTGTGACATCATCAGCTGGTTCCCATGCCGCAGTGACAATGAGGGGTTACACAGAAAGGGGGAGAGCCATAGTTTCCATGACTACAGAGGAGAGACCATGGAGGTGCCCTCACTTAAGCAGGACTTGATGAAACCAGGGCCCGAGCCCTGCCCGGGTCCCGAGGGTAGAAAAGCCTGGAGTCATGGCAACAGTGAGGACCACAGCTGTCTCTCACATCAGCAGTTCCTCTCAGGAGGGAAGGCCTGGACACACAGTTCACGTGGAAAGAGCTGTCACGACAGGTCAGCCCTTCACATCCATCACAGTGTGGAGACTGGAGATGAAGGTGCTGCTGAGGGTCCTCCTCTGTGTTCCCCTCTGAGAGCGTGTGCGGAGCAAGCACTGTGCCAGTCCAGTGAGAACATCCACCCTGACTCCCCTCCTAACGCTTGTGGGTGTGCCCGCCCAGGCGGCACCTCCCAGAACTGCAGCATCCCCGAGAGAACGTCTGATTGTTGTTTACACTGTAATAGTGGTTTTAGGGCCCACACTAGGGAAGAGCCCAACAAATATGAGGAGAATGGGAATGTTTCTAACCAGAGTTTATATCTCCCAGTTAATCAGAGCATCCATGCTGAAGAGAAGCTATATCCAGGTGTGGAGGGTGGGAAAGCTTTCACACAGTGTTTAAATTTCAACCCTCATCTCAGAGTTGATGTGGAAGAGACTCTCTATAACTCTGAGTGTGGTAACCACTACAGTCTGCCCCCACATTTCCAGGACTTTCCAAGAGTGCATACCAGGGAGCAGCCACATAAACATTCATGCAGTACCAGCTTCAGTCAAAATGTGTGTGTTCAAGGCCATCAGCAACTTCACCCCCGAGAGAAACCTTTTAATAAAGAGGGTAGGAATGGATGTAACTGGAGTTCCAGCCCCAAAGATCATCAGAAACAGAAGCCACACAAATGCATCACCTGTGGGAAAGGGTTCAGTCACAGATGGGTTCTTAACATTCACCAGAGGGTGCACACAGGAGAGAAACCATACAAGTGTGAGGAGTGTGGGAAGGTCTTCAGCCAGAGTGCCTACCTGCATGCACACCAGAGAGTTCACACCGGAGAGAAACCATACAAGTGTGAGGAGTGTGGGAAGTGCTTCAGTCGGAATTCCTACCTGCAAGGCCACCAGAGAGTTCACACCGGAGAGAAACCATACAAGTGTGAGGAGTGTGGGAAGGAGTTCAGTCGGAGTTCACACCTTCAAAGCCACCAGAGAGTTCACACCGGGGAGAAACCATACAAGTGTGAGGTTTGTGGGAAGGGCTTCAGCTGGAGCTTTAATCTGCAAATTCATCAGCGGGTTCACACTGGAGAAAAACCGTATAGATGTGGAGAATGTGGCAAAGGCTTCAGCAAGGCCTCAACTCTTCTGGCCCATGAGAGAGTCCACACTGGAGAGAAGCCTTACCAGTGTGAGGAGTGTGGGAAGGGCTTCAGTCAGAAATCATACCTTCAAAGCCACCAGAGTGTTCATTCTGGAGAGAGACCATACAAGTGTGAGGAGTGTGGCAAGGGCTTCAGCCAGAGAGCATATCTACAGGGTCACCATAGAGTCCATACCACCGTGAAACCATACAGATGTGAGACGTGTGGGAAGGGCTTCAGCCAGAGTTCCCGCCTCCAAGCACATCACACTGTCCACTTGGAGGGAAAACCATACAAATGTGAGGCGTGTGCGAAGGGATTTAGTGAGAGTTCCCGTCTCCTAGCACATCAGAGGATCCACACAGAAGGAAAACCCTACAGATGTGAACAGTGTGGTAAGGGCTTCAGTGGGTCTTCCAGTCTCCATGCCCATCAGAGAGTCCACACCGGGGAGAAGCCTTACAAATGTGAGGTGTGTGGGAAGGGCTTCAGCCAGAGATCAAATCTTCAAGCTCATCAACGAGTCCACACGGGAGAGAAACCCTACACATGTGATGTGTGTGGTAAGGGTTTCCGTTGGAGCTCAGGCCTTCTGATCCACCAAAGAGTCCATAGCAGCAAAAAGTTCTGTCGGAGGGAAGAGTGTAGGAATAGTCATTCTTCTGATGACCTATACAGAAATGAAGGCCTGTCAGATCTGTCAAATGCTGTTCTCTTTTGTCAATGAAAACAGTGTTCATACCCACACATGAATGTCAGGTGTGGTTGGGAAACAACATGGTTTAGAGCTATACCAAGAGTTTTTCAAAATGAACAAACTATTGCAGAGGATCAAGAACTTCTCAACATGCGTGCCAGCAGGAATTAAGTACAATGTCCTTGTCCACTAGAACATAACCTTCATGATAGAGACATTGTCTACTGCCAAGGCCGTAAGACCGTGACTAGATATGTGGCTCAGCTATGATGAGCACTGGCTGCTTTTGAAGAAGACCACATGGAATCTGTCTACATGGGACCCAGACATATGTTCAGGCAAATCACTCATATACATGAAAATAAATGAATGAAACCATGCATGTGTAGTCGTATGTTTCCTTCCAGACCACCTGGTCCCAAATAATCACTCAGAGGCTCATATAAAGTACAAATGTTCAGCCAATAGCTCAGGCTTGTTACTAGCTAACTCTTACACTTAAATTAACCCATAATACTTGTCCATGTTTAGCTACATGACTTGGTACCTTTTCTCAGTATGGCATTCTAATTGGTTTTAATAATAAAAGCCCAGAGTCAGATGTCAGGGGAAAGGCTGAAAGATCAGAGAGACAAAGGGACAAGCCACAGACTTACCCAGCATGCCAGCTTCTCAGCTGGAAAGGGCCAAGTCCATTGTCTGCCCTGCATTTTCACTTCTCTCCATCCAGTCATATATACCACGTCTGTTTCCTCCCCCCAAGTGTGGGCGCCGGGATTAAATCTGTGCTGCACCACTGCCTGGCTTCTGTTGTTAACCAGGGACTCGCTTCTCAGTCTGACCTCCAGACAGGCTTTATTTGTTAAAGCACAAATAAAATATCACCACATTTTACTTTTTTTGTCATAAAAGAAAAACTATATACAATAAGTACAATAACTATATACATTATACAAGGCAGGAAATACATCAGCAATGCATTTGACAACTTCAGCAAAGATATTCCACTATTTATCCTATCTTGGTGAGTCTGAGTTGCCCTAATTTACCTTCTACCCTAATTTGTATTACCAAGACTATCTTTTAATGTCTCTACCTCTTAATCCTGAATGCTAGGATTTAGAGTGTGTACCACCACCTCCTAGCTTCTGGCTGCTGGGATTAATGGTGTGTATTACCACTGCCTGATCTCTATAGCTTATGGCTGACTTTGCTTTCTGAAACCCCATGCAAGCTTTAATAAATCATAAATAAGATATCACCACACATCTTTCTACCCTTATAATTGAGGACTAGGTTCCAAGACTGCTATAACTAAGTCTCTCCAATCTTTTATTTATTTATTGGTATTTTTTGAGACATGTTTCTCTGTATTGTTTTGGAGCCTGTTCTGGAACTCACTCTGTAGACCAGGCTAGGCTGGCCTGGAACTCACAGAGATCTGCCTGCCTCTGTCTCCCAGTGCTGGGATTAAAGGTGTGTCCCAGTATGCCCTGCAAGTCTCTGCAATCTTGAGGGATGATCCTATTACAAGTTGACCACGTTTAATTCCGCTTCACAAAAGGTGAACACATGCCATAAGAGACTATTTCTTCCTTGAATCTCCTTAAATCTAACATTTCCACAGGAGTCCATTCAGCTCTTGCACAGCCTTGGGAATATCTGTCATTTGGCAATTCTTTTAAGTTGGTTGTTTGAAAACCTTATGATGTTCCTCTCTTACCTTATAATGCAGTGCTGAAATTAGTTCTCCTTTAAACACCTCTGTATTAAGTTTTTCTAAGGCCTGTACCTTGGCAGTCATCAACTTTTTAAAAGGGTAAACCAAAAATTGTCAAACCAACAATAAAGATGATCAAAATGATAGTTAACATTATGTTAATCCCAATTAAATTGATTATCTCTTCATTTAATTCTTCCAAAATTTAAATCATGCATCGTGTAACCTAACTCCATTATAATGGATTTTTTTTTTTAATGTGGGGGAAAACTCTCTCCTTTAATTCTGCCCTCTGCCCTTTAATAATTCCAAACTGTCTCACCAAATCTGCTGCTGATGACAATTCAGATGACAGTGAAATGTGAAACTGACTGCTGCTGTGTAGAACAGTAGAAGCCCAAGCAGGTTTCAAGGCAGCCACCTAGTTTGGCATCGTCCAGAGAAGAGGATCCTGGGAAAGCCCACAACCCACTGAGAGAAAAGAAGCCAAGGAGCCGTCATTGGCAAGGGAAACTTGCAAATACAGCTAACACCTGTAGCATTTGGAGCCCAAACACCTGCTGCAGAGAGGCTGCAACGGAAAAAGTCAGACCCACCCAGAGGGCTTGGGGAAAAGAGGGAAGGAAATCCTAGCCAGAGGGGCAGTGACTCTAGCTGTGTGTAGCTCCAGCCTGTGCCAGTGCCTGCAAAGCCACAAGCTTTTATTTTATTTATTTATTTATTTATTTATTTATTTATTTATTTATTTTATGAATTAGTGCCAGATGTAGTGAGAATTCTAATTGGTCTTAATAAGAAAAACCCAGAGTCAGGTATGGGGGTAAAGGCTGAAAGATCAGAGAGACAAGGGAACAGGCCGCTTCTCACCTCACCAATTCCTAAGCTGAAAAAGGGTCAAGCTCCTCTGCTCCCTGCATTATCCCATCCTCTCTCCAACCAGCCCTATTATTTCCTCTCCCCTCCTCCCAGGTGCTGGGATTAAAGGTATGTGCTGCCACTGCCTGGCCTCTATCTTAGCTGGTGGCTAGTTCCGAACTCTGATCGCCAGACAAGCTTTATTTGTTAGAACACAAACAAAATATCACCACAGAACATCCTCAACTTGCTCCTTTGCCTATGAGGGCAACTCAGATTCTACCATTCCTCGTCCCAGAATTCTCACAGTTTCTTGGACTCAATCTCTTCCTGTGCAGCTATTGGCCAATAAGCTTTTTATTGGCCAATGAGAGTAATACATATTCATAGCGTGCAAAAAGATTGTACACTGCAGCCATGATCTTTCCTGACTCAAAGTAATCACTCAATGACTTTTGTTCTATATGTAAAAATATGCAAAGATACAACATTTGAAAGTTTATTTCAAAATGGATCAGACGGGATCTGACTAGGCATATATATATATTTGAAATGAAGGGCATCAAGCAATAGTCTCATCTGAAATAACAGCAGTTTCATTAGAAACCCTAACCCTGTCCTAAGCATATAGGTGTGGAATTCTTGAAATAGTTGGTCTTCCTCTCTACCGTTCACTGTTAGGGCTGGCTGTGTGTTTATTGGTTCCGATAGAGGACCCACAACCCCAGTCTGCGACAGCCAACATTCGGCCAACAGTTTAATAATTAATATGTCTCTGTGTGTTTATTTGGGGCTGAAGTGGCTGTGGGACCAGGCAGGACAGAAACCTCCATCTTCACACCACCGCTGCTGCCTGGCGTCTTCATGCAAACTCTTGGTTTTGGGTTGCTCACAAGATGGCAGAATGATAAGTAAAGAACACTGTCTCAGCACACAAATGAGTCTGGTTTTTAAAAGAATTGAATGAGTGTGTAACAGTGGATTTGGTAGTGTATATTCTGCCTCTACAATACACTCCTCCAGACTTGGCTCAATAACCCAGCAGCAAGTTAGGGCAGATTCTGAGACTGCAAGTCAGGCAGCCATCTATGGAGAGGGGACAGAGTGTGAATGAGAGAGTGGCACGGAGTTGAACTGTCCTTTGGGCAAGAGGCTTATTAACAGAGTTGCTTCAGCATGGAGCTGCTTGAAGTGGAGTTTTCCTGAAACTTAGAAGGTGCCTTCCTGTAATGTGTAGTTTCTTAATTAGTGTGTGTGTGTGTGTGTGTGTGTGTGTGTGTGTGTGTGTGTGTGTGTGTGTTTGGAAGAGGGATAGTAATTGTGGCACAAACCCAAGAATCTTTTATGGCACTTCAGAAATGATCAAAACAAAAAGCAATCGGGAAAGCGAGTTCCTGAAAAGCGATTTCCACTGAGCTCACTCTAGTTAAAACAGCGTGAAACTTGTGGGCACTTAAGCGTTCTGGGGAATGTAGTCCGGGAGAGGAATCAGAGCTAGGCGGCCTCCACTGAGGCATTCTGGGAATTGTAGTTCCGGCCCCAGCGGCGTCCGGGGTCGCTTCCGCTGCTGCAAGGCGAGGCTGCCTGGTAGTGGTTCTAGGGAGCTGAGGTTCTGGAGCTTCCTGTGCCCCATCCTATGTGTTCGTGCTCCCGGAGGTCCCCGCAGGGACCAGGTCTGCGGCCTGGGGAGAAACGGGGTGGCGGCGGCCGGGTCCGCTGTCGCTGGACTCTGCCTGAGGCGACGCTGAGGGGGAGTCTAGCTTCCCACGGGAGCCTGGAAGAACAGCTGTGATGACAGATGGCCAGTGTCCTGAAGACTTAAGTGGTATGCAAACCTGTTGTTGTTGTTTTTTAATGCAATATTTTTGCATTTATTTATTTACTTACTGGGGGGGGGCGTGACACAGCTTGTGTACCAAGGAGGTCAGAAGGCAACTTGTGGGAATCTGGGCTCTCTTTCCTCAGTATGGGGTCCAGAAACTTGAATTAAGGTGGTCAGACTCCATGGCAGTCACCCCTGAGACATCTCATCGGTCCTAATCCCCTTTTCTTTAGAAAAGTTTTAGGTTTTTATTGGTCATTATCTTAATGCACGAGGGGAAAGAGGCATTGTGGAGGCTCTTGCAGATGAGCAGTGTTTACCAGTAATTAAAACCTTTTGGAAGCCAGAGTCAGAGGGAGGACAATTTAACTTCTACGGATGGAAACAATTACATCAAGATAGTTGGTCCAAATGAATAGACCTTCTGAACGCGATGGTGACACAGCGTTCATCAGAGTTATGAGCAGCCCCAAAGCTGCTGGAAATAGAGAATGTGAACTGTGCTAGCCCATTGCAGTGAGTGAGGCGGAGCACGGTGGCTTGGTACCCTGGAGACTTACTCTGCAGCTCAGTTCGAAATAGGTAGGAAAGCCAGGTCGAAGCGCACAGACTTGGAATGCCAGCGCTTGGGGCTGATGGACAAGCTCAGGAAGTCGTGTGGAGCGACTGTGCTAGCGATGCTCTCACGAAGCCCTTCTTTCCCCAGCTTGCATTCCAGAGCCCTGCCTTGTCCCAGAGAGGAGAAGAGAACAATGACCAAGTTACAGGTGAGTTGCATAGACAGGCTGGGCAAGCGCTCCACAGACAAGCCACACTGAAAGTGCTAGAGGGTGTTGCTGAGAAGAACGGCTTGGGAAAAGGCTGAATATGAGAGCATAATGGGGGAGCATGTGCTCAAAGCACGCTGCACACATGAAATTGCAAAAGGACACATTTTGAAATGGAAAAAGAGGGCTGGAGAGATGGCTCAGCAGCCAAGCTGGCCTTCCTGAGGCTAAGTTCAGTTCTCAGCACGCGCTTCTGACAGCTTACAATTACCTGTAATTCCAACTCCAGGATGCCCCCTTCTGGCCTCCTGGTGCATCTGCACACACATGTACACACACTCTCTCTCTCTCTCTCTCTCTCTCTCTCTCTCTCTCTCTAAAAAAAAAATTAAGTTCATATACATTTTAAAAAGTAGCATCATTTCCCATGGTTTGCTGCATTTATTTTGCAAGTGAGTATGGGTTCTCCATATTGGTGTGGTTTACGAATTTTTTACTTTAAAATTTTGTACTATTAGTATTGTGCGTGTGTGTGGGGGTTGGTTGTGAGTATACCAAGGCATGCATGTAGATGTCAAAGGGCAGCTTTTGGGATCTGGACCCTCTTCTTCCATCCTTGCTGAAGCAGCAACTCCTGTGTCTGTGACTCTGCGGGGACAGGCAGATTGCCTGGTACTTATCGGTAGCCACCTTAGCCTAACTGGCAAGTTCCAGGCTGCGAAAGACACTGGCTCAAAAACAGGAAAAGGTGGCTAGCACCCGAGGAAGGACAGCAGAGAATGTGCACACTCACATGCACACATACGTGTGTGGACATGCATTCAATAAGGTTAAAGCCTTCATTTTTAATTAGACAAAAAGGGGAGATGCCATGGGACAATCTTTTTCTGCACTATGAATATGTATTGTTCTCGTTGGTTAAGTAAAAGCTGCCAGGCCAGTAGCTGGGCAGGAAGTTAGGCGGGAAAGCCAAATTGAGAACGATGGGAAGAAAGAGGGCAGAGTCAGGAGAGACGCCTGCCAGCTGGCTGTGTGAAAAACGATATAAGAAGCCATGAGCCGTGAGACAAATCATAACTAGAAATATGGGTTAACTTAAGTGTAGGGGTTATCTAGTGACAAGCCTGAGCTGCTATAATTTATGATTTATATTCACCTCTGAGTCGGTTGTTTGGGGCCGGGTGGTCAGGAGAGAAATGGTCACCTGTGTGCCTGCATACTCGGGTACACTCCTGCACTGACCATATTCACTTGCCTCATTTGGCACTCTGAGCATTCATCTCCTGAACAGGCAGGGAGTGTCTGGCTGCTGCCATCTGCATCGCGTCAGTCAGAGGTGGACCCAACTGGGGTGATGGAGGAATGAGGAAAGACAGACACACAAACACATGCACAGACAAGCTGGGAGACACTCCAGCAGCTCAGAAACTCAGTGCATTTTCATTTGTCACAAGCGCCCAGAAGGCTGAGGCATGTCCCAGTTGATTTAAATATGGATTTAAGGGGCACATTTTACATGGTGCTGGGCCAATTTCTGCAGCTGCCTCCCATCAGTTCCCAGGAGTGGATGCTTGGTTTCCCAGTTAATCTGGGATGAGTACCCCTCATTCTCTGTATTCTGGCTTAACCTGGGCACTTTTAAAAGCTCTGGGTGCTTTGCTAAGTGATTAAAAATAGCAGTTTTCTGAAACTTTCACTGAATTAAAATTTTTTACATTTACTATATATATATATATATATATATATGTATATATATACACACACACATATAAAATAGCCTTTATGGAACACTATGTGGCTGTGAATGACATAATACAGATATTGGTGGTGTTTCGACATATACTGGCTGCTTAATGTGTATCCTACGTGGTCCTAGACCATTTCTGTGGTTTCATTTAATCCGTTCAGGGACATTGTGATGTAGGTACTACCACACAGACGGGGAAGCTGAGAAGATGAGAAATCAGTATCCCTAGCTCATCAGGCCAGGGATGCACAGGGATGAACAGCGGCCCTTAAGATTTGCAGAACCTGTGTTCACGCCTGTTACCCCGAACACAGCTGCTGTTGGCAGAGGTGTGTTCCTGAGAACTGCGTGTTCTAGAAGGTTCTCGGGGGCCTCTTAGATTGACCGGCCTAAGGAGATAACGAGCAATTCAGACCTGAGTGCCGTCTGCCAAATACCCCAGGACACAGAAGCATTTCATACGGAGAATTTTTGGATTTGTAAATACTTGCATAGACTTCGCAAATAAAGAATTCTGAACTTGAAATCCATAATGTTCCTCCGGCAAAAAGCACTTTTAAATGATGTCATCACTCATGAAATGGGTTTCAGAGCATTTTGGATTTGGGGGTGAAGGGGGTGAGGAGCTGGGCATTGCCAGCTGTTTGCAGCACAGGGCATGTTGATCCCCACATGGGTTTGCCCTCTCCAACTCTAAAGTCTGTGGCTTCCTCTTTAACAGCAGTGGTCCTAGTGATGCATCTTTGCAAAAGGCACCAATGTCCCTTACACCGCTGTTCCCCTCTTTTGCCCCCTGGGCACACAGTTGCCCAGGTCCTAGTAGCACCGGTTATGTAGCTGAGGTGGCATGTGTTTGCCGTCACAGGAGGCAGTGACGTTCAAGGACGTGGCTGTGGTCTTCAGCGAGGAGGAGCTGGGGCTGCTGAACGCTGCCCAGAGGAAGCTGTACCGAGATGTGATGTTGGAGAACTTCTGGAACCTTCTGTCTGTGGGTGAGGATGGCGGCCTGTGTCCCAAGTTTACATCCGGCATCGTCTTTGGTTGCGTTCCCAGCTTTCCTGTCAGGGCTATTTATTTTTTATTTTATGTATTTCTGGGTGTTTTGTCCGTTTTGTGTTTCTGCATGGTGCCCTTGGAAGCCAGAAGAGCGCATCACATCCCCTGGAACTGGAGTAGTAGACGGTTTGGAGCCGTCGTGTGGGCGCCTTCTGGAAGAGCAGAAATTTTTCTGAGGCATTCTGTGTGTATATGTGAGTGTGCACGCAGGGGTGTGTGTGTGTGTGTCTCAGTGTATGTGGGGACTGTGTGTGTGTGCCTTAGTGCTTTGTGTTACTGTGAGGAGACACCATGACCATGGCAACGTATACAAAAGAAAGCATTTAATTGGGGCTGGCTTACAGTTTCAGAGGTTTAGTCCACTATCGTCATTAGGAAGCATGGCGGCATTCGGGCAGATATAATTGCTGAGAGCTCTACATCCACATTCGAAGGCAGCAGGAAGAGAGAAGCACTGGGCTTGGCTTGATTATTTGAAACCTCAAGCCCCGCCCCCAGCTCCTCTAACAAGGCCGCACCTACTCCAACAAGGCCACACCTCCTAATAGTGCCACGCCCTATGAGCCCATTATCGCCATTTTCATTCAAACCAGCACATTCTACTCCCCGGCCCTGTTATTAGCCATATCAGAATGCAAAACTGCATTTAGTCCAACTTCAAAATCCCTTATCCATACTCTATCACAGTCAATTCTATTTAAAAGTCCAGAGTTCAAAGTCTCTTGTAGACGCGCGGCAGTCTCTTAAAATCAAAACGGAAAAGCAGATCACGTGCTTCCAACATACAATGGCACGGGATATACATTCCCATTCCAAGAGGAAGGAAAGGGAGCAGAGTGAGGAAAAACTGGACAAAGGCAATTCCTAAAACCAGCTGGGCAGACTCCAAACTGCATCTCCGTAGCTGCTGTCAACGCAACACACTTCTCTCCCTCCGTTCCCCGCCAGCGGCTCTCGTCGGCAGGTGCCCCACACGCTGACACCTCTAACGTCTTGAGGTCTCCATGCAATCCAGGCTTCACTATCACAGCTTCATGCAATGGCCTCTCTGGGCCTCCATTCAGGGACACCCTGACAGAGGCCTGGCCTCCGCAACTTTCCTTAGCTGCAGAGGGAGATTCCACAGGCCCTTATATCTTTGGCCCAGAGAGGTAAGTGCAGCTACCAGGGCTCTTGTGTGGGGTGCTTCCCCCTCCTCCAACCCCAGCCAGAGAGTCCCATTGTGCTGCTCATGCCTCAGAACTTTGGCTTCACATTTTACTCGGTAAAATCGAGTTGTTACTTTGAGTTCTTTGGGGTTTTTGGTTGGTTGGTTTGGTTTGAGGGTTTTTTGTTTATTTGTTGTTTTGGTTTTTTGTTTTTGTTGTTGTTTTTTTTCAAGACAGGGTTTCTCTGTTTAACAACTCTGGCTGTCCTGGAACTCACTCTGTAGCCCAGGCTGGCCTTGGCCTCCACCTGCCTCTGCCTCCCAAGTGCTGGGTTTAAAGGCGTGCGCCATCACTGGAGTGCTTTGGTTTTGTGGCAAGAGCTGGCTATGTAGTCCAGGTTTGCCCAAAGCTTGTGATCCTCCTGCCTCAGCTTCTCAAGCACTAGGGTGATAGTTTGGTCCACTGTGCCTGGCTGGGGTCCACCTTCCCAGGGCTTGAAAGACCCATGGACCTTCACGCTCCCACTCAGGAAAGGCGACACCCCAAATCTCTCACGAGAAGCAGTCTTGATGTAAAAAGCATCTTTATATTCCAAGTGCACTGGGGTCCACAGTCACACGCCACGCAGGGGTAGAGGACTGAGGACCCTGAGTACAGAATTGAGACAGCGTTTATAGGGTTACAACAAAGCCTGCACATCGTAAACCAATCATCTCATAGCATCAAGAGCCCTCGCAGTGCGGGTCAATCAATTTAAACCGTCTAAGCTCGAGCTTTATAGACCAATCAGTTTTCTATAGCCCTGGAGGTCTGCATTTGCGTGGTTCCTAGGTGGGGTGACAAATGGCAGTTAGGTTAGGTCACTGGGGCCGGGGTTTCACAAGCAGTTTACAAAGATAAGTGGCAAGGAGTGTGGCCTTTCCCCTATTTACTGGCTGAGGACAGGGTCTGGAATTTAAGGTATTTAGTATTTTTAAACTTCTGGCTTCCTGGGGGTCATTGCAGAGCTAGGCTGTATTTTCCCATCCTTACAGACCCACACTCTAGCTCTGCCAATCTCCATCTTCCTTCCTGTATCTGTCTGCGCTACCATTGATTGCTTCTCCCCGGCCAGAATGTTCTTCCCTGGTGAAGTGTCATGCCCCCTCTCTTGGAGACTCTGCATTGGTCTACTCCGAGGTCCCCAGGGATCCCGCTCACTCTCCACGCTCTGCTGTAGCCTCTGCTGTGGTCTGAGCACCACGGGACTCCTTGCCATGGGTTTAGGGTTTAGTTGTAGTTACGCTCCGCATGTGCAGCTGCAGTGTGGTCCGTCCTGGGAAGACCTTCAGTGCTCCTCACAGGAACATCGTCTCCTGACCCCCATCCCCATTCCTCTGCCTCTTTCTCCCACTGCCTTTGTTCCCAGTGCTCACACGAGCCACCAAGCAGCATCCCGGGACCGGGACCACCGGAACTTGTACTCGTCCGTTTCCTTTCTCAGCCTCAGGCTTCCCTCAGGCTTCCTTGGTTCACTTTGGTTATATTTCCCGTCCTGGCAGCTTGCTCGTGTGCCATTGTCCGGCTTCCTTGGGGGCCGGTTGGATAGCGCTGTAACCGTTGTCATTACCTCGGGACATCCGCTGCTCTGCTTGGCATCTGAGATCTGTGGTTTCCGAGCCTCTCCCCCCCCCCCCCAGTCCTCTGAGAGCCCGGACATCTTAGGTAGGAGCGCAGGCCTTTGAAGGGAGCCCGCTTGTTCCCATGCCTACACTCTGCCTTTTCCCAGAGGAGGCCTTCCCTACTCAGCACGCGTGTTTGGAGCCTTGCTCTTTCCATACTTTAGCTGTCTTCTAGGCGTTTCCAAGGGAGCGTGCGTGGCGAAGTCCTTCCAGTCCCCTCGTACACACACGAGTGCTCAAGCGGAGCCTTCCTCAAGCGGGACCTCGGTTTCTGAGCCTCCGCTGTTCAGTTCAGCCTCTGTGTACCTCACCTCTTGCCCTCCGCCTTGACGTGCCTTGTGTGCCTCCATTCACTCTCATCCCGACTCCGAGTCAGGGTGAACCAGATCAGTCTTCCTGTCAACCAGGCAGGCCTGGTCCTCTCTGCTCCCTCCGGTGCTCCCTCCCGTCTCAGGGAGGAGTCAACCCTGGCCATCCCTCGGGTAAAAAGATGCTGGAAAGTCTCCCCTCCCCCACTATCCATCACACAGGCCGCGTGAGGCTGGTGCGAGGCGGAGGGTGCCTTTGCTCCTGGGCTCACCCCAAATCTCACACCGTGTCACACTCTTGAGTGCACGCTCTCTTTGTTATAGACCCTTATTCCCGGCGCTCCCGCAAGTGAAGTCTTCCGCGCTGGTCTCTAATTAATGTTTCCAGAGAGAAATGAGGCCTCGACCCTTTGACGACCCCCCTTGCTGATGCCACTTTCCATCTGTATCCTTTCAGGAGGCCAGGGTCCAAACAAGATGCAGAGTCTTCACGAAACAGGACTAAGGTGCCTCTTAACGGGGCGGCTTCCATGCTGGCAAACGATGAGCGATGACGTCAAGAACCTGGTCAGAACCCCAGGTGCCGCAGGAAAGCCTCACTTCCTGGAGCAATGTAACTCCTTCTGCCACAGGGGAGCAGAAGAGCCGCCCTGGGCCTGCCTGGGTGACGGCTGTCGCCTGGGTGACGGCTGTCGTGAGAGGCTCACGGGAGACCATTCCAGCATGACTGAAAGCCGAGCCTGCCTGTCTGGGAGAGCTCGGGGCTCTTGGAGGGAAACTCACCTTAGTGAGAGGCCGACCCATCCGAGCCACTGCCAGCAGACGGCTTGCACTCCCCACCACGGCAGCGACAAAGGCGACAAAGCCCACAGCAGTGGCGACGACTGCAGCCCAGTCAGCTTTGCGGTGTTACCACACACCCTGCACCGTATTTACACTGAATGGAAAGCCCACCAGTGCAGCGAGGGCGAAGAAGCCTCCAGGCACAGCCCCAGCCGGGGACTCCAGCCGCAGGTCCCCAGCACGCTCCAGGACGCCGAGCACAGCCCCCGCGCCCCCGCGCAACGAGGCGGCCCCCCGGGGAGAAAGCGCTACTGGTGTCCCGCCTGCGGCAAGGGCTTCAGCCAGAGCTCCAATCTGCAGACGCACCAGCGGGTGCACACCGGGGAGAAGCCCTACAGCTGCCCCGAGTGCGGGAAGAGTTTCAACCAGAGCTCGCACCTGTATGCCCACGCGCCCATCCACACGGGCGAGAAGCCCTACCGGTGTGAGCGCTGCGGGAAAGGCTTCAGCCGCAGCACCGACCTCAGCATCCACGGCCGCGTCCACACCGGAGAGAAGCCTTACAAGTGCGAGGCGTGTGGGAAGGGCTTCACGCAGCGGTCCCACCTGCAGGCCCACGAGAGGACGCACACGGGAGAGAAGCCCTACCCGTGCGGGGACTGCGGCCGGCGCTTCAGCTGCAGCTCGAACCTCCACACGCACCAGAGGGTGCACACCGAGGAGAAGCCCTACCGGTGCGACGCGTGCGGCAAGCGCTTCAGCTTGAGCTTCAACCTGCACAGCCACCAGCGCGTGCACACCGGGGAGAAGCCCTACCGATGTGAGGCGTGCGGCAAGGGCTTCAGCTCGGCCTCGAGCTTCCAAAGCCACCAGCGCGTGCACACGGGCGAGAAGCCGTTTTGCTGCAGCGTGTGCGGCAAGGGCTTCAGCCAGAGCTCGTATTTCCAGGCCCACCAGAGGGTGCACACCGGGGAGAAGCCCTACAAGTGCAGCGTGTGTGGCAAGCGCTTCAACTGGAGCCTGAACCTCCACAACCACCAGCGCGTGCACACCGGAGAGAGGCCCTACAAATGTGAGGCGTGCGGCAAGGGCTTCAGCCAGGCCTCGAACCTGCAGGCGCATCAGAGCGTCCACACCGGGGAGAAGCCGTTCAAATGCAACACGTGCTCCAAGCGGTTCAGTCAGGCCTCGCACCTCCAGGCCCACCAGAGGGTGCACACGGGCGAGAAGCCCTACAAGTGTGACACTTGCGGGAAAGCCTTCAGCCAGAGATCCAACCTCCAAGTGCATCAGATCATCCACACCGGGGAGAAGCCGTTCAAGTGTGAGGAGTGTGGGAAGGAGTTCAGCTGGAGCGCGGGGCTGAGCGCTCACCAGAGGGTGCACACCGGTGAGAAACCCTACACGTGCCAGCAGTGTGGGAAAGGATTCAGCCAGGCCTCACACTTCCACACGCACCAGAGGGTCCACACCGGGGAGAGGCCGTACATCTGCAGCATCTGCTCCAAGGGCTTCAGCCAGAGATCGCATCTGGTATACCACCAGCGGGTCCATACTGCGGGGAACCCTTAGGAGCTCTGTGTTGCCAACCCACCCAAGGCATCTCGTCTCCCTGGAAACCCGTGCTGCTGATTGTTTAGGGTTCCTCAGAACACAGAGCCTTTGGAGACTTCACAGGGGAGATGCGCTTCTGTTTTGGAGATCGGTTCTTTACAAATGTCGGAAGTCACAGATGAGAGGGAAATGGCCCTATCCATGTGTAATCGCCACGTACAAGAGTTGCCACCCTCGGGATTTGACACAGCAGGGAAATCTCAGCGTCCATCCAGGTCTTTGCAGAGAGGCCACAGGAAGGGCTTTAACCAAAGTGGGAGATTGGCAAGTGTTGACAGGCGCCACTTCATCGTAGGAAATAATGCTCCTCTGTCCTCTGCTATACAGAGCTGTGTGGCTCAGGCCCCAGAGTTCCTGAAGTGGAGAAGGACTCTATAAATAAGACTCGTGTTTGAAAACGCTAGCCAGTCCTCAACCCTGCGTTCATACTGATTCATATTCGTCAGTAATCCCTTAAGGAGCCTTAAATCATCTTCCAGAAAGCACCAGCTTCCCACTCACATCTGTAGTGTGTGGCCTGCCCCTTCCAGCCATGGTGCTTTGTGAGGCATAACAAGTCTGTACTATGTTATTCTTAATATTTGTACTTTATAGACTAGAACACTGCTTTTTTTCTAAAAAACAAAAATCTGTATTTATGAGACTAATAACACGAACAGCAACATATTTCATTGGAATTATGGGCCCTGAGTTCCTTGGGATGGGATTTTTACTGTAACCAACACTGCAGATGTTTTTACAAAGTATTTGCTGTTGACAAATAGGTTCTTAGTAAACTTGACTAGTTAAGAAGTTGCTTCTCCTCCTTCCCCCTGGTCCTAGGTCAGATTGCCCTCCCTGCACCTCGTGCTGAGCTGCCCTGTTTTAGACTGATCTGTGCCCTTCCCACAGAGTCTCCAAGGCTGGATCAGGTGTAAAGAACAGTTATTTCTTACAGCTCCAGAGATGGCGAATGTCAAAGGTTAAGCAGGGTCTCATTGTGTCACCTGATAGCAGGAGGTGTGCAGGAGTGATCTGGGGGGGGGCTGGGGCTGGTGGCACCCACAGGGTGGCTCATGACATGTCTAACAGCAGTTCCGTGGGGTCTGGTGCCCTCTTCTGACCGCCGAGGGTGTGCACATGCACACACACACACACACACACACACACACACGGGCTCGCACGTGCGCACACACAGTGCATACACACACGGTGCATACACATACACACACACACACACACACACGGTGCATACACACACACACAGTGCACATACACACTCATGGTGAATACACACACACTGCATACACACACACACTCATGGTGCATACACACACAATGTGCACACATACACGGTGCACACACACACGGTGCACACACACACGGTGCACACACACATGGTGCATATACACACAACCATTCATTCACATGAGTAAATCTAAAACCATGAAGACCCAGGGAGAACGCAGGACCCCACAGCCGGAGCTCCAGTGCGAGGCAGCGCCCTCCTGACCATCATGGCTCCACGTCCTGCCTCCTAAATCCCACTGCTGATGGAATTTGCTTCCAATGGCTGTGATAGACACTGTCTCGTGCTTTGGAGAGGAAGGGCTTACTCTACGGTCTATGTCACAGCCCAGCCCTGAGGGAAGAAGTCAGGACGGGGACCCGGAGGTAGGAACTGAAACAGAGCAACGTTTGGTGGCCTTCTCTCTGGCTCAATTAGCCTAACTTCTCCTTCCTTCCTTCCTTTCCTCCTTCCTTCCCTCTTTTCTTTTCTTTCTTTTTTTTTTTAAACAGAGTTTCTGTGTAGCTCTGGCTGTCCTGGAACTCACTCTGTAGACCAGGCTGGCCTCAAACTCAGAGACCTCACTGTCTCTGCCTCCTGAGCGCTAGGTTAAAGCCACATGCCACCAACTGGCCCGGTCTACTTTCTTGCTTATTTGGTTGCTTTTGTTTTTTGAGATTCGGTTTCTCTGTAGCTTTGGATACTGTCCTGGAACTCGCGCTGTAGACCAGGCTGGCCTTGAATTCACAGAGATTCACCTGCCTCTTTCTCCCGAGTGCTGGGATTAAAGGTGTGTGCCACCACTGCCTGGCCCAGCCTACTTACATAGTTCAGGACCATCTGCCCAAGGGAGGCACCGTCAAAGAGAGCTCTCACATCAGTTTTTAGTGAAGAAAATGTCTCACAGACTTCCCTACAGGCCAGTCTGATGGAGGTGCCTTCTTACTGATGGTTCCTCTCCCCACATGGCTGTAGTTTGTGTCAAGTTGACAAACACATTCAAGCCATGGCAAGCAGATTGCAGGGGCCTTCAGTTTTTGTTTCCCAACCGTTATTGCAACTTGGGAAGGATCAGAAGTTGAAAGTCATCGTCAGCTAAGAAGCAGAGTTTGAGGCCAGCCTGGGCTACATAAGACCCTGTCAGGGCTGGAGAGATGGCTTAGAGGTCAAGAGCACTGACTGCTCTTCCAGAGGTTCAGAGTTCAGTTCCCTGCAACCACATGGTGGCTCACAACCACCTACAATGAGATCTGGTGCCCTCTCCTGGCCTGAAGGGGTACATGCAGTCAGAACACTGTATTCACAATTTTAAAGGCCTTATCAAAAAATAACTAAATAAAAAAGAAGGAAAAAGAGGCTCCAGGTGCGGGAGGGCCCACACTTGAAATCCCAGCACTGGAGAGGGTGAGGCGGTGTGTGTGTGTGTGTAAAACTACAGGCCAGAGTAAAGACAGTCCCAGAAAAACAAAAGGAAGAATGTAGAGCATGCAGGTTGGGTTTCCAACACCCTCATGGTCGCTCACAACTGCCTGTTAAAGTCCAGTTCCAGGATCTTATGCCCTCTTCTGGCCTCTGAAGGCACTGCATGAAAAGTAAACAACAAAAAAAAAAATTCTTCCTTGATTTCTGCTGGTGTTAGGTGGATTGCAATTTAAAGTCTGAGTTTTAGGAGCAGAATAACTCTGTAGCTGTGGATGGGAAGCTAGTATCTTGTAATGTAAATTTCAGAGCTAAACATTACAGCATAAAAAATATTAAACATTAAATAATCGGGCTCAACAATATGATGTGGACGAAAGAGAAATGAATGAAGTAGAGACTTCAATCCAAACCACAGACAAAATAGACTGAAAAAGATTACAAACCACAGGTGTAGGGGCGCACGCCTTTAATCTAGCTCTCGGGAGGCAGAGGCAGGGGGATCTCTGGGTGTTCCAGGCCAGCCTGCTCTGCAGAGCGAGTTCCAGGACAGCCATGGCTACACAGAGAAACCCAAAAGGAAAAAAGAGAAGGAAGAGGGGTAGGAAGAGGAATTGATAAAAGATTGAGGGCTGATGAGGGGGCTCAGCGGGAAAGCACTTGCTGCCCGAACCTGCTGGTTGAGTGAAATCCAAGAGTCCTTCCTGCAAAGCTGTTTTCTCGTCTCCATGAGCTTGTTCCCACCCCAGCATACACACACAAATAAAGTGGTGAGGGAGGCCGGGTGTGATGGGTCCCACCTGTAACCCCACTGCGTGGGCGGCTAAGGTAGGGGTGGATCCAGGGGAAGACTTGGAGCTCAGAGCCAACTTCTCCCAGCAGCAGAGAACGTCTGTCTGCCCAGAGGTCTTCTAGGGGACACGCCCACCAGCAGTCACCCACAAGCATCCCGTCATGACCCCACTGTGGATTTTGAAATGGCCCTGCATGCAATGCCAGCCCCTATCTGGTGGAACACCTGGGAATTCTTAAGGGGGGGGATTAGGGTTTTGTAAGGAGTAAGGTTTTTCCTCCCGCCGCTGGTCTTGACCCGAAGCCGTGCCAGCCCCAATTAACACACCGAAACTCTGTATTTGATATAATGCTGTTGGCCAGGTACTTTTCGGCTAGCTCTGTGTTAATTATTAACCCATGTCTATGTATTTCCACTTGAGGGGAGAGGCAGCTGGTGATTCTGCTGTCTCCAGACTCTCCATCTTGACTCCTCCTTCCTCTTTCCTCCTTGTCTCCTAGTCCCGCCTATCTTGCTTTCCTAATGGCTAACAGTGCTTTATTCATTAACCACTATGAGAAGCATATTTACAGAATGACATCTCCCATCAGGGTTTTGTTTATTTTTTATTTTGGAAAGGGTGTTTAGCCATGTGAAGAACAGGGAACAATATTGTGATGTAGGGAGTTAGGTCTCTGTATGGTTCCACAATGGATGCTCTGAAAATGGAAAAATTCAGTGAAGGGATAATCAACTTAGCTGGGATTGGCACAGTACTAATTATAAGCATCGGTGTGGTAATTCATGTCTTATCCTTAGGAAGGTGGTTTGATATTGATGCCAAATATGAAAAAATTGACTGATAAGACACAATGCTTGGAAAGACCTACTGGAGAAAGTAAGGAAAATATTCACACAAAGACAGGGAAGTGTAGAACACATCCCACTGCATTACGAAACTGAAGAGGAACAGCCCAAAGTTATCTTAAAAAACAACCGTAATTTATCCAGTTATTGTTCGAGAATGATCACCAAATGACAGGCACACTCAAGGCTACTCAGAAATTAACTGGGATCCTGTAGAAATGTTACATTTGAAGAGATTTAAGGAAGCAGTAGTTTCATATGGTATGAATTCACCTTTTGTGAAGCCAATGTCGAATTCATAGGCAACTCAGAACTGCAGCAGTATTGGAAGCTGGTCTTCAGTTACAATGGAAATCATGGTAGAGAGAAGAAGCTAGGGTCAAAAACCAATAAATACAGCTAGAGGTATTGATACTTCTTCCCAAGATTAGCTCCTCAGTGAAGGAAAGACAGACTACATTTCATGATCATACCTTGGCTCTATCTCATACATCAGTTTTGAATGCTTGGGGCAAAACTGAAGAATCGGGAAAAGGAATACTTCATTTACTAAAACTATACAAGGTCCAAAATGAGCCTTCATTGATTTTTTTTAAACAAAGATTGACTTCTGCTGTAAATAGAATGGTAACAGATCCAGAAGTTAGACAAATGTTAACTGAACCATTGGCTTTTGAAAATGATAATTCAGAATACAAAGGGGGTGATTAGGCCTTTAAAGGCCAGATCAGCACCAATAGATGAATGCATTAGAAACACAGCTGTTATCAGATCTCATACTTGGGATACTTGGATAGAAGAAGTGTGATTTCTAAAAAATTTCAGAAAAAAATAATAGGTCAGATGTTTTAGTTGTGGTAAACAAGGTCATCTGAAAAGGCATTGTAGGCAAGGCATTCCTAGAAACATTTTTTTTTTCCTGGAGACAATCCAAACAGAAGGTTCCAGCCTTCTGGAATACCAGATTGTGTAACAAAGGCTGACACTGAACTAATGAGTGCAGATTAACATGGCACAGGAAGGAAACACTTTGCCATCAGGAAATACCTTAGGGAGCCTCTCAAAGTCCCCAGAGTCAAATTTGGTTCAATCATTCCCTGTCAGCAATGCAGAAACTCCTCCACAGAGCAATTAAAAGGCTTAATGCCTTTCTTTTGTGAAAAACTGTACTGCTCTGAATGACAGAACAGAACAGCTTCACTTGATAAAACATTTTCTGGGGGGGGGGACCAAAAAAGTATTTTAGTAAACTTCTATAAATGATCAAAGATCAAAGTTAAAATGCAATTAAATGGTATTGAAATTGGGGTTTTGGTAGACAGAGGGGCAGATGTAACAATATTTGTGTCAAAATGTGGCCATCAAAATTGGCCTCTTCAGAAGGTACATACATGTTCAGCTTTTGGAGAATGGAACTTTATCTCAGGTAAAACAAAGCCCAAGATGGGTTGAATGTACAGGGCCAGA